TCTCCATGTTGGCTGTATCCTTGAACATCACCTAGCTCTGCCTCCCAAGAGCTGGGATTAAAGGCGGTCACCACCACCACCCAGTTTCTATTAGCTTGCCATTAGCTCTGACCCCCAGGCAACTTTATTTATTAACATACAAATAAAATCACATTTCAGTACAATTAAAAAGGGTGCCTGGGGCCTGGGATTGATTCCGGGTGCCAAAACAACAACTAGCTGACTTCATGATCGGGTGGTAATTTATACAGAGTTCAACATAAATGGAAACAGCAGAGGAGAGAGAAAACACTTTTTAAAAACAACCCCATTAGAGATGGAAAGATTGATGAGGCGGGGGTTGGCCTGATGCAGGTCAGAGGCACTGAAACCAAACCCCTGTCCTATGCTTTCTTAAGCAGAGCAGCCAGATTTCCATCCCCCACTGCCCCTACCAGCTGGAAGGGTTCTTGTAGCTGTTCTCTAGACAGCAGCAGAAGAGTTCTTAGGTGGGATGAATCCTAAAGAATTCCAGCCTGACTCCTGACCCTGTCGGTCAAGTATGCTAAGCAGATGTTTTCCTGTCTGTTAGGCAGTGTCTTGTGTAGCCCAGGCTGGTCTCAAACTTTCTCTACAGCTGAGGATGATCTTGGACTTCTGAGTCTCTAACCCAAGTGCTGGGTTCTTTTGTTTGTTTGTTTTTGAAACAGAGTGTTGAAATGTAGCCCAGGCTGGCCTAGAACTCTATAGCACCCCGGTTGGTCTTGAACTCATCATCCGTGTGCCTTGGCCCTCTGAGTGCTGGGGATGATGGGTTTGCACCACCACTCTCGACAGTACCTCACTAGCTTTTTATTCCCACCTTCTGAAACCGAGTGTTATCTGAAGGTGGTTTTGTTTGCAAAACCCTTCCACTGAATTGAATTGGGAATTCATTCTGAGAGCACTTACTCCATCCGGCAGTTCCTACCTTGACCCCAGCAGTCTGCTCCTTGTCTGTGGGCTCCATCCAAACAAGCCGCCTCCTGTGTGTGCTGACTGTTCCAGTAACGTGCACCTCACAGCACAGAACACATCATCCAGCTCTTATTTTTCAGTACCAAGAACAGGAGATGCCTTATTTAGATTTTTATTTATTTATTTATTTATTTTTTGTCACCTAACACAAGCAAGGGTCATCTGGGAAGGACCTCAGTTGAGAAAATGCCTCCATCAGACTGTGTAGGCAAGTCTGTAGATACACCATCAGATGTCTGTAGGCAAGTATGTAGGGATTGTTCGTGGTTAATGATTGGTGTTGGAGGGCCCAGCTCACTGGGGTGGTGGCACACGTGGGTAGATGGTCTAAGTTGTACAAGAAAACAGTCTGAGCATGCTGTGAAGGGCTAGCCAGTGAGCAGCATCCCTCCATGGTCTCTGTTTCAGGTCCCACTTGCAGATTCCCCCTGGCTTGTACTCCTGCCTTGACTTCCCTCAGTCACGGACTGTCTGTCATCCGAAATGTCAACCAGCTAAGCCTTTTTCCTTTCCAGATTGCTTTCGGTCAGAATGTTTGATCATAGCAATAGAAAGCAAACTAAGACAGATTTGCCCAAAGCTCTTCAGTGATCAGCCACTGGGTTTGGTCTCTGTCACATCTGGCCTCAGCTGGCCCCTGTTCTTTCTGCTCATGCAGCCTGATGTTGAATGTGAAAGAGCTGCCAACCAGCCAAACAGATAGACACCGTTTAGACCTCTTCTCCTGGAACTCCAGTGTCTTGGTACACTCCCGGGGAGGATGCAGGAGAAGGGTTTCTGCTATTTTCCTTGTGGTCCCTATGGTTGGAGAAGGAAGTGGTGTCCCTTCCCAGATAGTTGGGAGCACCTCTCACGTTGACTAATATACTTTTTGTCATGGGATTCCTCTAGCAAACTGTAGTTGAGTGTATAGTAAAGGGGACCCCAGTGTGCCACCCTCGTCTGTGTGGACAACAATTTCTGAACTCTACTCATTGCTGAGGCTCTAGTCTCCTGAGCAAAGCCTGACTTTGTCATACAAATTTGATAAATTAACAATTAGATAGATTTTTAGTTTGAAATGCAGAGAATTTTTGACTCAAAGGTAAAAGATTGGGTCTGGACTCTGGACCTCACCATCTGATGCTATTTTTATAAGAGATGTAACGAACATGTGGTCAAATGTGCACCTTAATAAACAAGGTCTATGTGGATTGGGGGATGGGGACTGGTTGGTACTGTTTGATGTTTTGAGATAGGATCTGGCTATGTATCACATTCTCTCTCAAACTCAGTATTATCCTGCCTGAGCCTCTCAAGTCTGGGGTCACAGATGTGCATGATCCCACCTGGCTTCCATATGTGTATGTTGTTTTTTAAACAGCCTCATATATTCCACACTGGCCTCAAACTTGCCCTGTAACCAAGAATGATTTGAACACCCGATTCTCCTGTCTTCACTCCTAAGTTCTGTGATTAGAGTTACTGTGCATCACCCAGCCTAGTTCATGTAGTGCTAAAGATTGAACCCAAGGCTTTGTGCTTGATAGGCGAGCACTCTATTGAGCCAGACCCTCAGCCACATTCTGTATAGTTTTTGATTGCTAGTACCATCAATTTATTTTAGCTAGTTCTAGAATCTCCAGGTGGAATCCTCCTGTATCATTTTGCATTTGAAGAGATGTGTCTCAAATCATATGTGCTCAATATATATGATATGGGCTCCCTTAGGAGCGTGAACGCTTGGGTTTTAAGAGGGAGGTGGTTTGGAAATAGAGAGGTGGGTGTTCGTTTCTTGTCACTCTGAAAATTACTCACTTTCCTACTCTGCGGTTTTGGAAGCAGCACAGGCAGCTATGGAGATGGCTTCTCAGCCACAGGCAGCTGCTCATTTGAACAAACGAGCTGTGAATAGTGATTGTTGCTTCCTTCACTCTTCCTTCACCCTCCGCTCTAGGCCCTCAGCCCATACTACTGAGGTAGTACTAGACAGTGACCTCTCTCTATCACTAGTGTGTGTTTCCTAAGGAAGGAGCTGACATTTTATTTGTGTTGGCTTTTTCGAATCAGTAAACCTTGAGTGGGTGGACTCTCACAGGGGACTTGGGGCCTGTGGTTCCTGCTTGCTCGTGGGGGAGCTTTGGGTAATCTTGCCTCATGCTTTGTTTGAGGAAAGCAGGAGGCAGCAGATGTTTGTAAATGAAGGTAATGTTGAAGGTGAAGGAGGCGGTCCACACATTGTGTTTATAGCCTGTCAGAGAGGCATTTGCGTGAAAGATGCTGTTGAGGATGTCAGAGGAGCATGCACAAGCCAGCGAGGAAGCTGTGGGGCTGATCTTGTAGAAGTTTCCAGCTTGTATCAGAATCGGTTTTAGAATCTTCTTGAAGCCCTGGCTGAGCAGTGGAAGGACCCTGCTGCCTTGAGGCCCAGAGATCCCAGGATTGACTTGGGGTTGTTGTGAGCCCACCACACTTCAAAACAAAACACACACACACACACACACACACACACACACACACACACACACACAGCCATAAACCATTTAAAGTAGAAACCAGGACACCTCGTTCCAAAATGTTTCAGCATGTATCTCCTGAAGAAGACCTTGCCCTGTGAGACCTCTGCCTCATCAAGAAAAAGAACAGCTGTTTCATAATATACCGCCCATCTACCAGCCAGCCTGTGTTCAAGGTCCATTGAAGTGTTTGATTTTCTTTTTCATGGTACAGGTTTAGGCATCACATTGGATTCTAGATTGTCTCTTTCCATTTGCTTTTTCTTTTTTCTTTCTTTTACTTTTGTATCTTTAATGTGTCTGACCTTTTGAAGAGACCAGATGTGAAAGGTTACCTGTCTGTGGGATGTCATTTCCTTTATTGCTGTATGCCCAGCGCCCACTGCAATCAGGAAGTTGGGTCTGAAGGCTGTGGTTGGGTTCAGGCCCAGTGATTTTTCAGAACCCCCAAAGGCTTGGGTGGTATCCCGCTGGTCATAGCCGGAGGCACAGGACACTAGAGAGAGAGATTGGCCTGTTAGCTTGGGGTCTGTCCTTGTTTGCACACTGAGTCCTGGGTGCTAAGTACTTGTTTGTGTCTGCGCCTTGCACCTGGCCCTCAGCAGCCCTCATCTGTTGATCTCACACTCTTTGAGGAGCTTTACTGGACTTGGAGATTTCCTCCTGAGAGGAAATTCCACAGTGGTGACCCTGAGTGTCAGCCTTTCTGCTTTGACCTGGTTGTTCTGTAAGTCCTCCTCAGCCCTGGAAATTAACTACCAGTTCCTCCCAGAAAGATAGAATAAATGTGTAGTCCTTTTCTTTTGAATTACCTGCTTCCTACTGAAAGAAAAAGAGCGGCTGTTTTCCCTTTTGGTAGAGTTCAGCACTTGACTTCCCCAGGCCTAGGCTACAGAGTGTGTTCCAGACCAGCCTGGACAACTTAGGGAGCCCTTGTCTCTAACTAAGACAGGGCTGGCAGCATAGCCATGAGTGTGATCCTCAGCTCCCCCTTCCCCATAGTCATCAGCATCTGGTTACTCTCAATGTCTCAGAGTTTCTCTTGCTAGACATGGAGGAGAGGCAGTATGTGACCTTCTCTCTGGTAGTGAAGCCAATGCCATTTGCCCTGAATATCTGATCATTCACTAGGTTCCACCCACCAGACTGCTTGAAGGGGTTTGCTGAGCCCATGTCTTCTTTGACACTGGGCCGGAGTCGGACTTGTTAGAATCATTTGTCTCTTCCAAGTGAAGGGGCAGCAGTTAAGAGATGGAAGACCAGCCAGGCAGGAGCTGTGATCACTCTAGGGGAGAGCTGAAGGGTGGGGTGCAGCTCACGAGGAGAGGAGAGAGACATAGACTAGAGGCCATCAGCTCTTCTCCATCTGCAGAGTGGAGGCAACCACAGAAGAACTTCCTCTCCATCATGGGAAGCTCTTAGCGGTCTCCACCTCACCACCTCCCGGGTTAACTTAGAGAAGGAACAGGTGAGCAAGCCTGCAGGTGATGCTGTCTCCTCTCTCCACAGGTGTGAATGACAGAGGTGGTGCCTTCCAGTGCCCTCAGCGAGGTCAGCCTGCGCCTCCTTTGCCACGATGACATAGACACCGTGAAGCACCTGTGTGCCGACTGGTTCCCCATTGAGTGAGTGCTGGGCACTGGACTCCCAGTGGATGGGAGGCACAGATCCGTGGTTCCTGAGACTGGAGGAGGCATCGGGGGACTGGCAGGCCAGAGTGGTCCATAGGTGCTATCTCAAGATGGCAAACTAGGCAGTGAACCTCAGGCCTCCATTCTGACCCGCTGCTCACCTTCCTTAAAAGGTCCTGCTGAGAAATTTTACTTACAAAGATGTCCAAGCCTGCATGTAACCAGGAAATTTAGGATCGACTTCAGTGTAAGAAATTGGTTAAGATACATTGATATGTATATGTGAAAATGCAGTGTTGTTGGAATGCTAGAATTCGGGAAATGGAAGCATGAAAAGATCGAGTTCAAGGCCAGCCTGAGATACATATTGAGCTTTAAGCCAGCATGGACTGTGGGAAAGACCCTGTCTTTAAAGAGGTTCATTAGTTATCCAGGAATAAAATCTGTCAAAGTGGTGTATTTATTGACAAAACTCCTTCCCTTCCTTCCTCTTTCTTTTACCAAATATTAAGTGAAAGCAGACTAGAGTACAAATACCATATTCCACTTTGATTTAAAAATATGCCCAGGATAAAAACCTCTGTATACTGTAGAGGAAGGAAAAGGATCCTGCCCCTCATGAGAATCGTGGCCAACACTTTAATAAAAGACATGTTAGCAGGAGAAGAGAATAACACATTTATTTGACCTCAATCTTCTGACATGGAAGCCTTCATATTAAGGATCCGAAGACCTGTGGTGAATTCTCCTTTTCTGTGCTTAGGTTCAATGAAGCATGGACTGTCATATAGAGATTATTGGACAAAGAATATTATCTACTAATGGATTGAAGGTGGAAAACACAGTGAAGCCCAGAATCTGCTCAGATTCTGCTTCTCTCTATAGCAGTCCCTCTTTCTAGGTATAGAGTAGGACCCTTCTGGAACGAGGGTGTGTTAATTTCATCATTGCTATCACCAAAATAGCGGACAGAAACAACTTCAGGATGACAGTTTATTTTCCACACTATTTCAGAGGTTTCAGGCTCTGGTGGCAGAGGGTTGTGGGGGTGGGCAGCTCACATTACAGTGGACAGGGAGTAAAGGGAGTAGAAGACCACAGGCAAGCTTATTGCCCCGAAGGGCGTGGCCTCAGTGACCTGCTTCCTCCAGCCAGCCCCACCTGCCATGGTCCTACATTTCCCAGTAGTCTGTAGTTTCAGTGCCTCCGCAGACACACTCAGAAGTGTGGTGTATTAATTAATCTCCTGGGCACTTGTCAATCTAATCAAGCTGACGATCAAGATTAATAGTGGAATTAGATCTATTGTCAGGAGGCCTGAGAGGTTTACATCTGGACCTTCACTGCTGGGGATCATCTACTGAGCCCCCAAAGTTCAATACTCAGCATTTTGAGGCAGAGTGGATTATTAGTACCTATGGGTTCCTGTGTTTTTACTTGCCTTGTGTCTAGATTATTGTATGATATGAAAAAGCATTTTCTTAGTGAGACAGACAGACATAAACTTTGAAACATTAAAGCTAAGTAGGTCCTTTAAGTCACTGGTGTTTTGTGACTCCTTGCCTTACACTTGTTACTCCGTGGCAGCAGAAAAGTAGGGACACATCCCCCTAAATGCATCTCTGTTGAAATACATAAGTTGCCAACTTCTTAGGAGTGTGGGCTAACAGTACTTTGTAAGATAAACATACTATCCTTGAAGTTAGTAATCCCACTCTGAAAGGAGTCCCAGGAAGTGGGAGTGTCAGCAAGGACAGCAGTGAGGCCTGCTGAGGACCGTGGGGCTGTCTAGAGCCACACTGAGTGTAACCTGACACCCCTCAAGTACCTGGCTGTCAGCCTCTCCTGCCCCTTGGCCGTGTGCCATGTCCCCACCCCTATCTAGAAAGATATGTCAACTCTAGTCTGCGTACCCATGAACTTTGGCTCTTCCTGGAATCACCTTGCTGGTCTTCAGTGCTGAAACCCTTCCCAGAGGCCGTTTGCAGCAGCCAGTCCTCTCTCCACGTGTGGGTCCTGGGTATTGAACTTGGCTGACACACCAGCACCTGTTGAGCCATCTCACCAGTCCTCACAGACTCCTCCATAGACTACCCAGGTGTCCGTGGGTCACTGAGGGCCCTGAAGTCTCAGCTCACACTGAGACGCAGGCTGCCTGTGCTGTCCCTCCAGGAACTATCTGTGGAGACAGTTTCATTGGGGGCTTTCCCCTTTTACATAAAGAAGTCCCACTTGGACCGGTGGCTCCTCCGAGAAGACAGCTGTGAGGCTCCCAGAGACTGGCAGGCCGGGCAGCCTCGGATCCCTGTGACTCACTGCACTGTGCTCTCTCCCTCAGGTACCCAGACTCATGGTATCGTGACATCACGTCCAACAAGAAGTTCTTCTCTCTTGCTGCAACCTACAGAGGTGCCATCGTGGGGATGATAGTAGCTGAGATAAAGAATAGGACCAAAATACATAAAGAGGTGTGTCTGTGCGACAGTGACTGCCTCTGTGGCAGCTGGACAGGGACATTGCAGTAGGGTCGGTCACATTGCCAGCTCTGGCTTGTGTCTCAGCAGCTTGTGACCTGAGGAATTAGAGCAGCGAACAACACTGATAGCCAGTGGGTTCATTTATATGTGGGTGTGGCTACATGGACTTTTCTTCTAAAGATTTAGTTATTATAATTATTATTTAATTATGTGCATACATATCTGTCTGTATGGGGTTGCATGGTGAGCTGCCCACTATTAAACTCAGGTCCTCTGCAAGAGCAATACATGTTCTTAACTGCTGAACTCTTTCTCCAGCCCCAGTGGCATGTGCTTTTGTACATGGAATAATATGAATAACGAATAGGACCTACTAGTGGACTTGGTAAAGGTGGCCGTTTTGAAATAGGAACAAACAAAGTGACACACTGGAAATCTGCCCCGCTGGTGTGCGAAGTGACAGTGCCTGATTTGTGCTGTTGGTGTCGTCACAGAAGTGCCAGTCCGTTAGGGATCAGTGAAAACGTATTTCTTTTTATCCAATTTCATGGACCACTCAAAGACTTACCTCCCTCCGAACCCTCAAGGACTCGGGTGACTGCTTCCGGTGTAGACTGGAAGGCCATAGCTGTAAACGGTGTTCTTTGTGGTTGATTTCCCTTAGAAGTCTCTGGTGATTTTGGTCATGGCAATGGAGCAGTGTTATGTACTTAAGAGAATCCCATCAGCCAGCAAATGATTGTGTTTTGCTTGAAGTTATTCTTTGTTTCCTTTGCTTTCTCTTTTTCCTTCCTTCTTCCCTGCCTGCCTTCCATTTGTTTGTTTGTTTGTTTGGGGGCAGGGTTTCATTGTGTGCCAGCTGTCCTGAAACTCCGATCTGCCTGTCTCTGCCTCTCAAGTGCTGGGGTCCAAGGTGTGCACCCCACACCCAGCTTGCTTGAGGTTGTTTCTTTAAAAGTGCAGGAGGTGAGATGGAGCTGTAGCTCAGGGGCAGAGTGCTTGCCTAATATGCAGGAGGCCCTGGGTCCCATTCCTAGTGGAAGAGGAAGAAACATCTCCTCTACGATCCCAGACCACTAAAGGTTACCCCATCTCACACATAATTACATCTTGGCACGTTGTTGGTTGGTTTTGTCCAGCCCAGCTTCCTCTTGAGCCACTGCCTCACGTTGTTCATTGCTAAGATAGAGAGAAAGCAGGGGCCAGTATCCCTTGGATCTGCTATCTTGTATTGGATACTGTTTCACTTGCCCATACCTTGTTTCCTCGTGATCCCTCCTTGGGGCTTTTCCCTAGTGACTGTCCACTTCCACCGTGAATATAGCCTAAGGGTCTCTTAACTATGCTCACCCTTTCCACAGATTCGGGGCCTCTCTTTTGTCTAGGTTTTTGGCTAGCATCAGTAGCCTAGGGCTTCTGTTAACTATAGCAGTGAGTTTATCCCCTCCCCAAGTTTGCTATGTCCAAGTTCACTGTAGATAGAGCTAAGCAGGGTCAAGGGGCAGGGCCTGGTCCAGCACATGCCTAACACATAGGAGCTACTTGGTAAATGGGAAGCAGAAAAGCCAAGTTGCCTGGTATCCTTTCTTGGAAGAGAAAACTTTACAAATGGCAGATCTTTCTTGTTATTAGGAGGTTGGAATAACATGAGAACCTCATGGTCAGAGTCATGACTCAGGAGGCATTATGTGTCCATTACAAGAGATATTCATGGAGTACCATGCTATAGTACATCACAGTGTGCCACTCTGCCCAGCATGGGCAGCAGAGCAGAGTGGATAGCTGTCTTAACCTGCTTTTCATAGTCACCAGGGACAGTATGTTTTTCTTTATAAACTTTAAAACTTTGTACTTGAATATGGTTCAGCAGTAAAAATCTGAGAGGCTGAGTTCCCAGCACCCACATGGAGGAGGGAGAGAACCAACTCCCAAAGTTGTCCTCTGACCTCTACACAGCGATGTTGCACATGCATGCTCACTCCGACACACAAATGAATGTCAGGCAACTTTTCACTTGTCCACTGTCTCGCGTCATGGCAACTGTATCACTGCTTGTTGACAACCTATGTGTGACCACTCTGGACAATCGTTTTCTTTTTTGTTTTCCTTTTGTGGTGGGATCAGACCAGTGGCCTTATGTCTGCCAGACATGCATTCTACTGTTTAGCTACATCCCCATTCCCAGCCATTTGTCTCTTACTGTAATGTCACTGGTTCTGGCATAAAGTACCTTGTGGAGCCAGGCAATGGTGGCACACACCTTTAATCCCAGCACTCGGAAGGTAGAGGCAGGCGGATCTCTGTGAGTTTGAGGCCAGCCTGGTCTACAGAGCGAGTTCTGGGACAGGCTCCAAAAGCTACACAGAGAAACCCTGTCTCAAAACCTTAAAAAAAGAAAAAGCAAAGCTCCTCGTGGGTGTATTCTCACCATAGCAGCATTCTGCCAACAGGGCCTGCACCCTCTTGTTTTATGGGCCATCATAGGTGTCCTTTGTCCTCTGTGCTCTGCCTCTTCCTACCTGTGGCTGCACATGTCAGGATATGGAGAGTGGACACACAGAACCCTGATAGGTTCTGCTTTGCCCTGACTTTATCTCTGACTTTCCCTTTAGGATGGAGATATTCTAGCCTCCAGCTTTTCTGTGGATACACAAGTTGCATACATTCTAAGCCTGGGAGTGGTGAAAGAATTCAGAAAACACGGCATAGGTAAGAGGCAGAAAGCTCACGGCTTGAACCACTGCTGCCCCCTGACCAGTTATCAACCCCCACCACCCCAGTTACTTCTTCTGAGGTCTTCAGCTCACAGCTTCACCCTACGTCTCTTCTTCCTTGTCCAAATGTGGGGGCAGGTAATGTCCTCCCAGTGCAGCGCCCCACCCACAGGCCTTCTTTGTTTACACCCTCCCAGATCTGTCACGAACAGATCAGCCACAACTCCAGTACAGCCTCGGGAAGGAGTAGCCCTCCCTAACTCTCCTGTGCTGCCAGGCACAGTCGTGTGTACTGGCAAGATGTCCTCAGTTCAGAACAAGGACCATGAACAGCTGGAGAGACAGCACTTGGCAGCACTCGTCAGACTCTAGGTCATCAGATTCTCACCCTACCCCACCACACAGCAGTGAGCAGAAGTCCTTTCTTCAGCGCAGGCCTTTCTCACACCCTCTGGGTTCTGGTTTACACTTTTTGTTGCCTGAAAGGTTGGTGTCTTCTGTGGACCCAGAGCACTTCCAGGATACATCTGTGGTCCACAGTGATACGTAGTTTATGGGTTCTGTCTGGCTAGGATTTTTTTTTTTTTTTTTTTTTTTTTTTTTTAAGAAAACATAATTCTTTATTGAGTCTTTGGGAATTTCACATCATGTACCCAATCCTGCTCACCTCCCAATCCCTCACATACTCTCCTCACCCCTGCAGCATTCCCCCAAAAGAACCCTCCCTCAAAAGTCAACTAAAAAACAAAACAAAAACCACCTGGCTTCTCCGTCTTTCTCACCTCTTCCTTCCTCCTAGTGGCACTGGGTGCTCTGGGGTGTCACACAGACACCTTTTGTCCAATCAGCTCCACTCACAGAACGTTCATTGCAATGAGTCATTGGTCCGGTTCAAGGGTCCTGGCACACCATCATCACTGGATCCTCACCGAAATGCCTCTCAGACATCCTGCTGTTGCCCCAAGTCATTGGAGATCCTGTGGTTATCTCGGGCCCAGTCCCTTCACACACTCCAGCACGTCATAGATGGGTGGATGTTAGGGTGGGCCAAGCCAAGGCCCAGGATGTGGGTCTCTAGCTAGGATCTTTTAGGGACTTGGACAGTGGGAGGTGACCAGAGACTAGTTTCAGTCTGGGAGCATAGCCCTCTAGACTCCTGCAGAACTGTGCCTTTATCTACGTCCTCTTAACTGCCCTGCTGTGGGAAACCTTCCTCTCCTCTCCCCAGGTTCCCTTTTACTAGAAAGTTTAAAGGATCATATTTCAACCACTGCCCAGGACCACTGCAAAGCCATCTACCTACATGTCCTCACCACCAACAATACAGCAATAAACTTCTATGAAAACAGAGACTTTAAGCAGCATCACTATCTGCCGTATTATTACTCCATCCGAGGGGTCCTCAAAGATGGCTTCACCTACGTCCTCTACATCAATGGCGGCCACCCTCCCTGGACCATCTTATATCCTTTACTTCTGGAAGGGAGGGAGAAGGCTTTGTGGTTTCCTGGCTAGAGGGCTAGAAGAACCAGAAAGTCAGCTGGAACTGTGGCCACCTTCGGGTGACAGTCACTGGCTTAGCTTGTAGTGTTGCTCCTTGAGTAGCTCAGAGTATGGGCAGGTCTAATGCACCTGATTGGTTGCATACATTAGGAAAATTGGCACTTTCTGGCAGCTTCAGCCCAGCAGGAAGGTTGGGTTTTAATTCTTTGGGCCTAGGATCGATCCATCCACTCAAGAAATAGGGAACATATCCTGTTCCAGGGGTCAGCAGTAAGCATAGCAGATACAAGTGCCCCCCCCCCATGCAGCCTGTGATGCAGAGAAGAAAGTAAACAGTGGCAGAACACACTTGGGTTCAGACCTTCCTCATGGAGTTGCATGATCGAAGGTGTATTCACCCACCCCCAATTCTCTCCTCTAATGGTGTCCTTGCTGGAAGGAAGAAAACCAGATGTCCCAGCAGCCATGGGGTAATAGCCCAGAATACACCACATGTACCTGTGGGTGTTTTGAGAGAAGTAAAACAGGAAACAGGTTTGCCCAAGCTCCATAGCCCCAGCTCACATGAAGTCAGGCATGTATGGGCATCCAGGGGTTAGCACTGCTGAAACATGTCCTTGTTGGGGTGGGCTCTGTTCCCTCTGGAGAACTAGGAACACTTGGTTTATAGATCCTGCCCTGGTCTTTGTTAATTACCTTATGGTGATTGTCCTATATGACTCTACTGTGCATTATTTCCCAAACTGATAGTCCACTTAATGAGCCTTTCTAGTATTTTCTAAGGTTTAATAGGCCCTTGGCCTCCAGTTGAGTGCAGTGTGCCACGTGGGAACAATGCTGTGGGTCATTGATCAGACTCCAAGGACGCTGCATGTGGGCAGGCAAGGCAGACGGGGCCATATTGGTATCTTCCTTGACAGAGCCTACAGACTACATCCAGCACCTGGGCTCGGCGCTAGCCAACCTGAGTCCCTGTTCCATCCCACACAGGCTCTACCGCCAGGCCCACAGCCTGCTCTGCAGCTTTCTGCCATGGTCCGGCATCTCCACCAAAGGTGGAATCCAATACAGCCGGACCATGTGATGCCATTGGGGCGACCTCCCCCAGGCCTCTGTCCTCAGCACTTTGTGGAGCCTGTTTTCCTGTCTGTCTGACTTCTGCTGTCCTTTGCAAGGAGCTGGTGGCCACCTGCCGGCCCGTCGGCCTGCCCCAGCTGCAGGCCCGGTGCTATGCTGGCTCAGGAGAAGTGTGTGTGCTGGTCTTCGACAGGTAGGGACAGATGGTAGGACCTGGGGAGTCTGGTGCTTATAGAGACAGGGAGTCTCTAGGCAGGTACTTGGGAGCAGTTCACAGTGGGTCCAGAAGCGTTTGGAGGAGCAAGGGACCAAAGGCCTCACACCACTTGCCGGATCTCTTTTCCCTCCCTAGACTGTGTGTGTACATTTGCATCCACGTGTGCACGTTGGTGGAGCATGGAGCTCAACGTGGGGGCGATTATTCTCCACCTTACTTTCGAAACAGGGTTTCTCACGGAACTTGTAGCTCACTGATTTAACTGCACTGGCTAGCTAGCGAGCCTCGGAGATCCTCTTGTTTCTGTCTCTCAGCTGCCTACCTAGGCATTTTATGTGGGTGCTAGAGCTCAAACTTAGATCCTTTTATTTATTTATTTATTATTTATTTGGTTTTTCGAGACAGGGTTTCTCTGTGTAGCTTTGCGCCTTTCCTGGAACTCACTTGGTAGCCCAGGCTGGCCTCGAACTCACAGAGATCCGCCTGCCTCTGCCTCTCGAGTGCTAGGATTAAAGGCATACGCCACCACCGCCCAGCAGATCCTTATATTTATATAACAATCACTTTTCCAATGGAGCCATCTCTTCAGCCCCTGGATAACTTTTTTTTTTTTTTTTTTTAATGTTTTTAATTTATCTCTTGAGAATTTGAGGGCATTGGAGTCTCTGGAAATGGAGGTATAGGCAGTTGTGCCATGTAGATCCTGGGAATTGAATCCTGGTCCTTGGAAAGAGCAGCATATGCTCTTAACCACTGAGCCATCTCCCCAGGATCTGAACAAATTTTTTTTTTCCTGTTAAAATGATGGTGTCATGTGATTCAAACATTAGGAAGGTACAGAAAGGCCAAGCAGCTCCTACTGGAGGCCCACAGTTACTTGGCTTTACCCGACAAGAGGCACCAGTGACCTGTGACCCAGACGACTGCTCTCACCACCAGTGCCGTCACCAGGGCATCTCCATGTGGCATTGTCCAAAGCCCATGCCAACAACTTGTAAATGAGGTTAAGATTCTGCCTGGATGCAACCATTTTGGTTGCTGAGAGCTGGTCTCCCAAGCCAAGAGAACAGAGAATTGCAGAACTGGAAGAGGTTTGGGTATTGCAGAGCCCGCTCCATTGGCCATCCACATTGAGGACTGGCACACATCCAGGTGCTTGCATTTGTGTTAAGTTCCAGGGAGGCTGCTGGCCACTGTGAGACTGGGGCTGGAGAAAGGGCTCCTGCTCTGGTGTACCCTGGCTCCGCAGAAGCCCACAGGCCAGAGGGTGAAGTGGGTGAGCATCCTGCAGTGCCTTCACATGCCCTGCTCTCTTCCCTGCAGGCTCTCTTCCTGCTTCTGGAAACTTCTCCCTCCACCTGGAGCCCTTGTCCTGCCTCCATGCACTGGCACCATCCCAATGGCCTGGCAGGTGTTGGCTACATTCACTGGAAAAGGTCTTGCCAGGCCTCTCCTGCCTCCTGCTCCTTCATCTTTCCTACAGAACGGACTGAACTTTGCTGTGAAAAGAATATGGACATCTTTGACGCTGAAGACACAGGAACCTTAGAATAAAGAGGCACGGCAAAGAGAATGCCAGGGTTTTTTTTATAGGAATGCCCTAAAGAGGCTTAGACAGTGGAAGCAGTTTTTCATGAAAGGCTGGAGACTGGGGCGAAAGAGTGGGTCTTGCCCTTCACAAGAACGTAAAGCTTCGGAATCAGCCCTCACCATAGTCAGTTAGATGGACGGTTCCTTGTTCCTCAGGCCGCCTACTCCCTGCGTCCTGTTGTCCAGAGGATCATCCTGCCTCTCGAATCCGGGCAAGTTCCATATAGCCGACCTGCACTTGGAGCTGAGCCAAGAACTGGGGGCTGTTGGCTTCTGGGTTCCTCCCTTGCTCATCCTTCTAGAAGCTGAAGCTTCAAGGACTGGCCAAATGCAGACAGGAGAAGGCTGAGCTCTGCATTGGGCATCTCTGCTACTGTGGACTCATGAGACTTGGCCTTGGGAGTAGAGGGCATTTGGTGCCTGTGGCCCTTCAGCCCCGAGGCAGAGGCTCTTGTCAGTGCCGTGGATTGTACCTGCAGCGTCCCTTCCTGTGCCCCCAGAGCCTGCCCAGCATTGCTGCAGTATCACAGGTGCCCATGCAGGGCGTCCTCACAGCCTCTCACTGTGCCAGACTGATTAGGAACAGCTCTGTTGACAGGCTTCCCTCCCTCAGCATCTCCTGGATTAGGGCTCTCAGGCCCTAGAGCCAGCCCAAGGCTGCTTGGCCTCAGGGAGGGAAGGGTCCTCACAAAGCAGGAAGGCCAAGGCAGGAAAAGCATTCCCCTTCCTCAGCAGAGTCGGCCCCAGGTGGCTGGTGTCCTGACTGGTTTTGGTTGTGTGCTGAGGCCCAGTCCCATGTTCCCTTCCTTTTCAGTCAGTGGTGATCATGTGATTTTAATTTCTGCCCTGTGTGGTCAAGGAAGAGTCTTCCAGAAGGTTCTGACTTGGATAGTCTTAAATCCAATTCAAAGTCCTCGACCTGTCTTTCTTCCCTCCTGTTCCCAATTACTGCAGTGTCCAGCCCAGGGCTGAACGAATCGTAGTGTGTAGTCTCATTACAAACAAATAAACAATTTCACTAGTCTCGTCCTGTCACTGGTAGCTGGCTCTCACACTTGGTGCTTTGGGCTAGGGCTGAGGGCTGGGAGCTTGCTTGCTGCAGTCTTCCTGGTGCCCCAGCCATGCAGGCCACTGTCTTGCAGAGGAGTGTGAGCCTGGTGAAGGCGTCTGCTGCTGAAAGCAGCTGCCTGTCAGTTCATACCCACACCCTGGTTCTCAGCTCTGAGCTAGAACCTGATCCAAGTGTGAAACTGTGTGATTCTCTTCCCCAACTCTTCTGCCCCCATCTCCATCATAGCTTCTAAGACTCCAAGGGTCATGCAGGCACATGGTCAACGGAGGCCATGGCTCTGCTCCCAACCAGAGTGGGTAAGTCTCTGGAGACAATCTGTGTGGTCACAGCCTGGAGGAGGGTACTGCTGGCATTCTTGGGAGGCTACAAAACATCTTCCAGGGCACAGAATGGGCCTACAACAAAAACTTGATCCAGTACCAAATGTTAATACCCAAGGTCGTCAAAATCCAGGTACCTGAAGTCTAGTCCAGCTGGAAGAAGGCCTGTGGCCATCCTGATGGGTTCCTGTGGGGCCATAAATTCATCTAATCCCTCGAAAGGAGCAGTTTGGGGTCCAGGCCAACATGCCTGCCTTGGTTGGTCCTCTCCTGGTTCCCTCTTTAAACCAAACCTACATTTCATCCCTTTGTCCCTGGAATGCCATGCCCTGTGTTCAGGCCTAATGAGACGCTGCCTGCCTTCCAGAGCTACCATGTTCAGGGGCTCCCCCACAAAGCCTCCCTGGACCTGGCTCATGACTCTCTGTACCCCCAGGATAGCTCCCCTGAATGGCTGCAGGGCGGTTTTGACTGGGTTGACTTGATGACAGACAGACAAGAAGGTGTGTAGGCCTTGGCTTTTACTGAGGTTAGACCTGAGGACTCCCTGGCCTCTCAGGAACCCGACTCTGCTCGGCCTGGCCTCCCAGGTACAAGTGGCTGACCGGAGTTTGGGCAGGCTGCAAGGGCACGGGTATGCTTCCATTTCTTCTGTCCCTCCCATGGGACTTCCTCCTCCCTCCCTCATACTGTCCCCAGACTAGCCCAGGTCTGGTGCTGGGCAACTATGGGGGCCATCTCAGTGGGGAGGCTACCGCTGGGACTGAACCCTTCCTCAGTAAACCTGGCCGCCTCCTCCTCGGCCACTCTCCCCCTACTGTCCCCAGCCCTGGCACTTTGGATCCTTATGTCCTCTCCAAGGCCCCAGAGCGGGTTCTCTTGCACAAGGGACACATGGTCTCCTCCAAGGCTCTCCAGGACCTCTTGGGCCTGAGTCCCAAGCCCTCAGGGGGACCAGACTGGGAGGGGACACCCTTGGCTGGGTCCATGCTGGAACTGGAAGCTGAGGAAAAAGGAAAGAGAAGTCACTCAGGGACCCAATTTGAAACCCTACCTTGGTGTCCCCGGACCTTACAACCCTCAAGACAATTGAAGGGCTTGTGCTACATTCTTGAAAGAACTAGTCGGGAAAGGGACATCAGTGGGTCAAGCTGAAAATGTCATGAACCCTTCATTTGAAAAATGAACTGAGGGAGAGCTGCCCAAGGTCCATCAAGATACAGAACGAGGATTAGAACCCAGAACTGAGTCCCAGATCTACACCCCACTTCTACATCCCACCAGGCTCCAGCTGTGCCAGCTGCATACTACCACCCCTGAGATTTCACAGGACTTGGAGTGTACATCCACGGGGCGGGATCAATAGCAGGGCACACAGATAGAAAAATTCAACAAGATCTTGGCCCCTGGAGCATGACATTACTTTAGTGTGTCCTGGCCACTTTGCTCTTTCCTAGTTCTTGGCAGAAGGCTGGGGAATGGAAGAGGCCCGTCTGAGTTCCCTTGAGTCTTCCCCTCATGTCTCCAGTCCTGCCTTAACAGAGCTCACCTGTATTTCCCAGGCTGTCCCTGGGCAGTTGGGCTTCCAGAAGGGTTGAGCAATGGCTGTTACCTGGACCCAAGGTCCCCTGTGGCAGGGCCAGGGGCCAGGCCGAGCCTTCAGGCCTCGGCAGGCTGCCCCCAGCCATGAGCCGGCCTAGCCAGTGGCTTCCACATTGACCAGCAGGCTGCATGTGGCCTGGCAGGTAGAGAGCCAGGCTCCGGAGGTGACGCAATCGGAAGTTCTTGGGCTTGCTTCCCTGGGCACCGGGGCCCTGCTGCTGCTGGGCCCCCAGCCCTCCCTCATAGATGTTGGGTGGTGTGTCAGGGTGGCTGGGGCGTCCTGGGGCCCAGCTCACTGCATCTGCAAGAGAGAGAGAGAGAGAGCAGGAGGGTGGTGGCCAGTGGGCCCAGCATCTGGGCAAAAACTGCAGGTACCAGCTTATATGATAGGCCCCATGCCCAGGCTACCCAGCCTCAGTTCTTGTCTATTCCCATTTCTCCTGTTTGCTCCCCTAACAGAGGGGCCTAAGAAGCCCAGGACTTTGGCACTGAGATCTCTTTCAGCACCTCAAGCCCTCTTTTGTTCCCTCTATCCTAGAAAGAGTATGCTGGTGCCAGTATAAGCAAAGTAGGTACAAGGGGACAGGACTGGCCCAGTCGTACAGCCTAGATCGGGGGTTCCTCCCCTCCCAAGCATGCATGTCCCTAGGATCGGCCCAGGTTAGGACAGAATGGCATCTCTGCTACTGCTCCTCCCTGCAGCCAGGCACCTTCTCTTATTCGAAGCTCAGAGAATGCACAGACCAAGGCTTCCATGGAGGGCCAGTATGGTGGGGGAGGAGTGGCCAGGCCTTGTGTGCAGCAGGGCCTGCTCTCCCCTGCCTACGGGGTGGGTCTGCAGGTCTCCCATGGCAACTGGTTCTATGATGTCACAGTAAAGACTCCAGTCTTCTTGGGTCCCTTAATTTGGGAGAGGATGGTATCAGGTTGGGACAGGGTGGGAGGAGGGCAAGGGGAGGGGCTAGAAACCTAGGGTAAATTCACTGGTCCTCAGATTTAGAGCAAGACACAAAAAAGTTGAGCTTTGGCATGCTAAAAAGTCATTCTATGGGGTGACCTTTTGGGGTCCTCAGCTTCCTCATCTGTGATCGGGAGAACGAGGGTTTGGGGTACAAACCTGCAGAGATCTGAATCATGCTGAGAAGACGGTTCTGGGTGACACTTGTCTAATTGTCCATTTCCTCACAAGTTGTTAGGCAGTGTGTAGATAATGCCATTTTTTTCCCTACGCATGTGGACAAACTGGAACTCTTGCCTTGAAGGTGGAAATAAAAAATTACAGCTAATTTGGAATCATCTCAGTCACAAAACCTTTACATTTCGTTGTAGAAAGTTTAGTTCTATGTTCTACATTTAGGTTTATGAATCATTGTTTTTGTATACAGATAATAGTGGGGTTTCATTTATTTGCTGTGGATTTCTCATTGTTCCAAACCATTTGTTGCAAAGACCATTCCCTCTGTCCAAATGCATTGTCACCTAAGTTGGACTAGCCACAAATGTGTGGCCCTGTTCCACATACTAAGTCCTTCAGCATCTACTCCTGGTCTGTACCACAATGTCCAGGTCAAGGGCACCTCTACATCCTGCGCCTACCCATCTTGGGGCTTTGCTTTCCTCTTCGCCCACCCTTCTTGGCTCATCTCATCTCTTCTCTCCCCAGTCTTCCTTTATCGCGGTTGTCCCCGACTCATAGCAGCTACCAGGGAGGATTCCTGCTGAGTCTGGACTGACCCCACCGCACTGGGGTGCGACACACCAGCACTGTGGCTCCCTTCTCAGAATTAACCAGTTTCCAGGACAACCTCTGGCGCACGGATCTTGATACTGATTTCCGGCCTGTCGGGAAGACTGACAAGCTGTACGTACACGAAATCCCTCCGGGTTCAGTTCTCGAATTCTGCAGAGGGTACCATATCTTCGTTCCCGTCAGTCTGCGGCTACTTTAGCTATGTTTTTACAAATACGAAGGAGCCTCGGTCACATAAGGTGATAGATAGTGCGCTCTATAGAAGTGAGGCGATGAGAGCCACAACGAGACAGGAGACAAAAGCGCTCAACGGTGAGAAGCGCCACCTGCTGGTCTGTGTCCTGCGCATGCGCGCACCGCACCGATTCGCTCCCGGTCTTGTTTGGCCCTGACGGCTCGCTGTCCAAGTGCTCTGCAGGTTGCTATAGAGACCGGCGAGCGCTGGGCCTGCAAACTCCGGAGAGGCGAGCAGCGGCGCCCCGGTGGGCTCTTGAGGACCTAAGCACCATGTCTTTTCGCGACCTCCGCAGTAAGGCTGCACCCCGCTTTCCCGTGGGCTTCCCAGAAACTCGGGGCTCCCCTGCCTGAGCCATAGACCCGGTCAGGGCGGTGGTCCCCAGCCCCAGACTAGCCAGGGGCTGACAGAACTTTACAGCACCTTTGGAAAGTTCTGTCCCTCTCTGGCCGCGTGTGGCTAGAACATTTGGAATGTGTCTCCAGCGGCTGAGGAACTGAATGTGTTTAGTTTTACCCCATTTTATCTCAGTTTTTCGCAGCCACATTAGAAAGGTCATAGGAAATGGAGACTTTGTCCTGTGTTAGAGTTTGTAGAAAAAAACACTGAAACCAAGGAGGTGACTGGGTGAATGGCTGTTGCTGCTAGTTTTTTGTCGTTGGTTGTTCATTTTTGAGGTTTGTTGCTGTTGTTTTAATAACCTGGCACATAGTCTTCTCTTTGTGGGCGTTATTTCGTTTACTCCGAGGCAGTTCTTACGCCCTGTGTCCAGAGATGAAGAAACAGGCAGCAGAAGGTCAAAGTCATTTGGGCAAGAAATAGCTAGGCCGAGCGGTTTTGGGGTTTGAATCCAGCTTGTCTGGTCGCCAAATACTGAGGAGAACTTTGCCGCAGAGTGTAGGGAAGTGGCACGTTTATATTAGTCACTACGCTTTGGAGAACGTCTGTCATGTGTGTTATATTTCACACGTTCTGTTTCTGGCTTTAACTGCAAGGAGTATAGCTTCTCGTGGGTCAGACAGCTAGGAAGAGTGACGGAGCTGTGTGACCCAAAAGCTTGCCTCGGTGCAGAAGAGTAGCAACTACTAGGATCAACTGGGAGAGAATCGTGTTTTAAAACAGTGTAATGATGTGCTGGGAAGAGTATTCAAGAAGAGTATTTCAGAATGTCTACCTTAAATGAGTACTGTATAACTGGGTAATGTGTGAGAGTCTGTTCCTGCCTAAAGTGGGGATGGGATCGCTTCAGCAGAAGGGAGTGTTCGGGCGAAGCCTGGCTGGAGACTGCTACTTGTTTTCTGCCATCTTTCTAGTCCACAGTCTGGTGCAGTTCGTCCTGCTTTATCGTCCTAGTAGGTTATTTGGAATTGTCAACAGGACGTTTTGAATAGCTGTCTTCAAGAAACATGAGTAGACATTGTACAGCCAGGAAACATGTTCAAAATCTCAGCATATTGTGGGAACGCAGAAATGCTGGTTGTGTTCATTTTGATTTTTCGAGACAGGGTTTCTCTGTGTAACAACAGCCCTAGCTGGATTAGAACTTGCTTTGTAAACGAGGTGAGCCTCAAACCCACAAATGTCCACCTGCCTCTGGATGTGCTCTTTTCTTTTCTCTCTCTTCCTCTCCCCCCCCTCCCTCCCTCCCTCCCTCCCTCCCTCCCTCCCACCCACCCACCTACCTACCTACCTACCGGGTTTCTCTGTGTAGCTCTGGCTGTCCTGGAACTTAGTCTGTAGACTAGCCTGGCTTCGAACTCACAGAGATCTTCCTGCCTCTGCCTCTCCAGTGCTGAGATCAAAGGTGTGCTCCACCACCACCTGACTGTAGTTAGCTTTCTTTACAGTTTCTTTTCTTTTCTTTCTTTTTTGAGACAGGGTTTCACTAGCCTGGAACTCACTGCAGATCAGACTTGCTTCAAACTCAATAGGGTTCTGCTCCCTCTGCCTCCTGAATGCTGGGTTCTTCATATTTTCAATAATGTAAACACATCTAGGTCTAGGAATGTAGCATCTTAACTAGAATGCACTAGGCCCTGGATTCTGTCTCCAGCACTGCATAAAATCAGACATGGTAGCACAGGCGTGTACTGCCAGCACCTGAGAGGAAGAGGCAGATGGATGGGGAGAGTCATCCTTAGTATGTAGTGAATTTGATCCCAGCCTGGTCTGCCTGAGCATCTCTATGGACACATGGCGGGGAGTCCCACTCTGTCTTATACATAAGGGTGGAGTTAATGGGTGGAGGGCTCCAGGATCTCTTGCCATGTGCTAATTACCTTACAACCTCAAGGCCTTTCCCATGCTAGGCAAGTACTCCATAGAGTCACATCCCTCCATCAACAGTTCTTAAATCTCTCTCACATAGGTGTGAGGTTGGCAGAGCCCTGCCTGGTGGTACTTGAACCTGCAGGCAGACTGCACTGGGAAGTGGGGGCGGGTGAGTTCAGTGGAAAGTTTCTCCACACCCACACCTGGTATCTGGGCTGGCTGGCCAGATCAGCACAGGATGGGGAGAAGATTAGATGCCACCTCTTAGGTGACAAGGAGTTTGCAGCCGTCTTTCATCTCCATGGTGGCTAGACTCTTCAGCGCTGCCTCCTGTCAACTGCAAACTGGCCCCGAGCAGGTTCCAGGTTCCACTCTCGCCCTGTAAGAAGGATTCGGACTCCACTGGCTTTTGTTGTTTGTTTGTGTTGTTCTTGAGGCAGGGTCTCATGTAGTCCAGGCTGGCCTCTCACTCACTATATAGCTGAGGATGACCTTGAACTTGGGATCCTCCTGAGTTGATTTTGGATTTTAGTCAGTGCTGGGGATGGACTCCAAAGCTTCCTGACCACCAGGCGAGCGCTCTGCCATCTGGGCTACAGCACCCTTCCTTGTTTCTTTTTCTTTTTGTTGTGTTTTGTTTTAAGACTAAGTCTCCGTTGTCCAGTCCTGGATGGCCTGGAACTTGCTATGTAGGTCAGGCTGGCCTCAAAATCACAGGGATCCTTCTTCTGGTCGCTGTGCCTAGCTACTTGTTTTTTGAAATAGGGTTTTGTTTTTTGTTTTTTGAGACAGGGTTTTTCTGTGTAGTTCTAGATGTCTTGGAACTCACTCTGTAGACCAGGCTGGCCTCGAACTCACAGAGACCCACCTGCCCTTGCATCCCTAGTGCTGGGATTAAAGGTGTGCATCACCACCGCCCAGTAGTTGTTTTCATTTCTAAATCCTGCTTTCTTTCAAGCAGTGTAGCTTTTTTTTTTCAGGTGCTCACAACTTAGAATATTACTATTTACTAATCTGTTTCTATAGTAAATCTAAATACTACATATAGTTCAACCATTCTCTTAAAATTTCTCTGAATATGAGGTAACTGGTCTTTAAAATTTGTCATGAAATCATAAATACTCACTGAATATAACAACATATAATCTTTAACTTCATCCTACCTAGGCTCTCCCATAAATAACCACTATCAACATTTTTTTCTTATGATGTTTTATGAAGCTAGGTAGTTTTTATTTTGTATAGAAATTAAAGCCTCAGATATTCCCTAAGCCCCATTTCTTTGAAGAAAATCTACTCTGTTGAACATAGGTGTTTTTCAGGTGATGGATTAGATACTGACAATTCTAATCTTCCCTGCTTTTCCTCTTATAGAGTTGATGGATTTGGCACCTTGAGTGGACATTATGTTGGGAAGAACCAATAAGAAGAGAAAGCAGAGACAATAAGATTAACTACTCTCCAAAGAGTTGCCATTTGACAGGACTGACTGGATTGTGTTTTATATTGGACAGATTTCACAGAGATGATGAGAGCCTTGGGATACCCACGACATATTTCTATGGAGAATTTCCGCTCACCCAACTTTGGGCTCGTCTCTGAAGTGCTTCTGTGGCTTGTGAAAAGGTTAGACTGCACTTTATTCACATCTCAGCATGAATAGTTGGTTTCATTCAGTCACTAACTGGAAACTGTTGTGATACAAAAGGAAGAATATAGTGCACTCTACATAGGGTGAACGTAGTTGTAACTTGTGAAAAATCACCAGAGTTGCCAGACATGATGGTGCTAGTAGATCTGTGAGTTCCGGGTCAAGCTGGTGACCTACATATCAAGTCCCAGGACAGCTAGGGCTACGTAGTGAGAGACCCTCTCTCAGATTTTAAAAATTGAAAGAAAGACATCGCCAGAGTTTAAAGAACGTGGGAGGAAGTGACTGTCCTCACCACAACATGGCAGGGACCTTGCACACTCAGAATAGACTGCAGGAGAAGTTTTGCAGATGTGGCTGGAGAGATGCTCAGCGTTAGGAGCATGTACTGCTCTTGCGGATGACCTGAGTTTGATTCTCAGCACTCATGTTGGAAGGCTCACAACTGTGTATAACTCCAGCTGTGGGAGGGCCTCACACCTCTGACATCAGTGGGCACCAGTAGTGATGTGCACATGCTTACACACAGACCCCCACATACACATAATTAAAAATAAAAAACTAAAAGTCCGAAACAAGAAATAGTGTAGATTTTTCATTGTGTTAAAAGTCTTATATGATAAGGATTGGCAACCTTTTGTGTTAAGAACCAGAGAGTAAATATTGTATGTGTTGTTATGCACAAAATTCAGTCTACATGATGTATCTGTTGACTGTTCTGCAGTTACAGTCAGTTGTGAGCCATCGGACATTGGTGCTAGGAACTGAGTGCAGGTCCTCGACAAGGGCAGTGTGTGCTCTTCAGCCACTACGCCAGCCCCTTCTCTTTGCTTTTAAAACCATTCTTACCTTTCAGACTATACAGATACAGGCTGCGAGTCAGTCTTCTGAGCCTTGGTGAATTATCAGTAAATAAGTAATTTCAGCAACTGCTATTTCCTAAAGTGAATTGTTTAGCTCTCGTGTCTATCTTGGGCCAAGGGCTATCAGCCTGAGTCAAAATCTTGGCTATTTTCTTAAGAGTTGGAAGTTTGAGATAGATTTAGTTTGTAGTCTGAGTCCCATATTTGGTTTGGTTACAGATTCATCTGTCTCCACACACATGACCCACATGTATGAGCGGAGATCAGAGGACAAGGTTGTGGAGTTGATTCTCTCCTTCTAGGGATTGAACTCAGGTATCTAGGCTTATACAGCAAGCCTCTTTACCTGCTAAGCATGTGTGAATACACATAAATGTGTGGGTTCATGCTAACCCCACATACATGTGGCGGTTAGAGAATAGTTAGTTTTCCTTTTGCACTATGTAAGTCCTGGAGGTTGAACTCTGATTGCTAGGCTTGGTAATAAGTCTGTTTATCCACTCAGCCATCATGTGCTCTGTCACTTAATCTCATTCTTGGGTTGGAATTTGCTCCCTGAGTATTTTGTTTGCTTTTGAAGTTTTTCTTAATCATATTGCCTTGAGTAGCAATACTCAATCATCCACTTTCTCTTTAATGGACCTTTTTTGCCTTGTTTCTTTGGTCACTTTGTTTGGCTTTGTTATATTTTAGGTAGGTTTTACTATATAGGCCTGGCTAGCCTGGAACTCACTGAGATCTGCCTGCTTCTGCCTCCTAAGTGCTGAGATTATAGACCTGCACCCCCACACCTGACTTTAAGGAACTTTCTGTTGTATTGGCTCATGCTTGTTTTTTCTGACAGATATGAGCCGCAGACTGACATCCCTTCTGACATTGAGACCGAACAAGACCGAGTTTTCTTCATTAAGGCAATTGCCCAGTTCATGGTTAGTTCACAGTTATTTTATAGACTTGTCAGATAAGTTAGAAAAAGATGAATCCTATCTGGGATGGTTTTTGAATTGAGTATTGTTTGCTTTCTAAAACCATCCACTGCCAGTTTTCTGTGGAGCCATTTCACCAAAATGTGTGTGTGTGTGTGTGTGTGTGTGTGTGTGTGTGTGTGTGTGTGTGTTGACTCATTGCTTGTATGGTTTTGTTTGTTTATTTTTGGATGAGTAATCTGTTTTATGGTTCAAAAATGTTTAGATCATGAACTTATACAGAGTAAAATGACTTTCTGCCATGTCTGTCCTGGGCTGAGTTCCGATCACAATAACCACTAGTTAAAACTGAGCCCCCAGTTTGTTTATGCATATTTAAACAAATCATAATGCATACATCCATATCAATAATATTTATATCTTAATTAAATATTAATAATAATATGCATATATATTCCCTGTTACACATGCTGTGTAGTGTCTTGCTTTTTTCACTTAGTAGTATATTTTGCAGAACTTTCCAAATGCATATAGAATTTCCTCTCTTACACTTGAGTTAATATTGCTTTCATGAATATCCCACAATTATGATATTTATATAGGTATTTAGATAATTTATAACCTTTGCTATTTGAAAGAATTCTGTTACAAATAGCCTGTGCTTTTCATTTTGTCTGTAAGTTTATGCTTAGAGTTAATTCTTAGAATTAGAATAACTAGGTCAAAGATATATGCATTTGTAGCCGGGCAGTGGTGGCGCACACCTTTAATCCCAGCACTCGGGAGGCGGAGTCAGGCGGATCTCTGTGAGTTGGAGGCCAGCCTGGTCTACCAAGTGAGTTCCAGGAAAGGCGCAAAGCTACACAGA